TCTTCTTAGCAAAGTATCTCAAGAATGGAAGAAAAAGTATCCAATGTACACACCCCTATTATGAAACTAATTTATAGTTCTCAAATGAAAGCTACAACCTAATTCTAGCCCAAGAATATGGGGAGGGGGTGGGGGAGGGGAGGGAAGAAGGGCGGATGGGTGGTGGGAGGGTGACTGGAAAGATCACCTATATGGTCTGTCTAACAAGGGTACAAGTGAATTTTTCTAGAATTAGAGTATAAATGTTTTAACACAATAACTAAGTAAATGACACAAAGTTTGATGAAAATATTTCAAATTGTATATGAAAACACCACACTGTACCCCATGTTTGCATTAATGTATACAGCTATCATTTAATTAAAAAAGAACAATAACTGTCCATTTCTTTATTCTCTCTGAAGTATATTCCCATGAAAATGATGTGGCTTTCCTTTTTCACCATTTTCTTTTCTCTACTTCTTCTCAGAATTTAAATATACATTTATTTTATACCAATTTATGTTGTTTGCTAATTATTCTCTAGTTATTTCACATTGCGTATTTTGCTTATTAGATTCTGGACTGGGGCAAGAACTGTATCTTCAATCTCCTTTGAAGTCCCCTCTGTACCTAGTATACCTTTGAGCACGAATAGTTATTTAACAGCTGGCTGAATGAACTAACCAATAAAATGTGCATAAATGAGAGAGTGGAAAAAAATCCACAATAAATATTGTTATACTAATATTCCACAGGGCATATGAGGCTGATTGGACCGCTCATACACACACACCAAACCCATGAAATATAATTGCCTACAACAATTAAACAAATGATGATGATATTGTATTGCTTAGATTTAATGCACAATTTCTTGCTTCATAGAAATTTAATACAACTTGAAAAAGAATTATACTTACTCTTTCTTCTTTTCTATAAAGTGATCATTTAAAGCATTTAAGCTTCTCAGTATCAATGCACTGATGTCTAGAAATAGATGGATTTTGGTCATATATTGACTGTATGCAAAATTAGGAATGTATTAGGTAAGCTTAATTACTTGCTATTTCTGTTAAATTCTGTGAACAAGCCAAGTACTCTAAACAACTCACATAACCAGCTTCAGGGGAGATGTTTTCAACTATAGCTGGCAAACCACTAAACATTCAGTGCGCTCAAATACCTACTTTATGAGATCTTTTCATTTTGGCACAAAAGAGATCATTACAAAATACAAGGAAAACTGTACCCAAGTCATGATAACATAACATTAAAAACACACAGACACACAAATAATTTGGCTCCTATCACCAGAAATATCAGTCATTTTAGAAAGCCCTACTAACACTTACCTGCGATGAAAAAGTACATACTAAGAAGTCTGCCTGTGAGAGAAAATGTATATCTAGGATCACACCCCGAAGTGAATTTTCTGTGTATCGATTATGTAGTCCAGCTGACCAGGAGATAGAATTATCACTGATAAATTCATAATTGGGGTACCTGAAAAAAGAAATAAATTTATTCATGGTCACTGAAATCATGGTATCCTACTTTGGCAATGAGCTTCTCTTTTTCTAACAGTAAGGAGAACTTCGATTATGGCACTCAATAGTGCAGTTCATGAGCCATCTTTAAAGACATCAGTGGGCAAAAACCATTCTAGAATGTTCTGTATGCAAAGCATTATTGACAGATCACATAAAACACAGACATCAAAATGGTCTTTATAAATTCATCAAAGAGTTGAAAACTGAAGGCTCTTTGTTCTTTGTAACAAATAACTTTTAAGAGTTTATTTAAACTGCTTTTGTATTTGTTCACTGAGCTTTTCCTCCAGAATATAAATGTCATGATAAAACTTCATTTAAATTTTTAATTTAGAATTTGTGATAATTCAGATTTGTGTTAGACTTTGTAAATGTCTTCTTCATTGATATTATAAATTGATAATATCAAAGAAGTTATGAGATGAATATTTTTAAAAAGTTTGAGAACCAATAGTCCTAACTTAATTTCCTTCTTGAAGAACCATCTATTTACTCTTAAACAATAATGGTAATGCTACCAAAAGAAATCCATGTAACCAAAACATTTGTCTCCCCATAATATTCTGAGGGGGAAAAGCCACCCAACCTGATTACACGAATGTGGGGAGTCCTAAAAGTGCATTGGAAGTGCACATTGCTCGATCAGTTATAACACCACCTTATTGGTGAGGAGTTTGGTATCTGTTAAACTCCTTTATCACCACTGTGAATATTAATCCATGTTTTCATCTAGAATTGATGAGTGTATTTCTGGATTTCAAAAATCTGAACATTTCTGAAATCTCAGCCTACTACTGGAAAAGGCCACATTCTTAGTTACTATATCAGAGTCCCAGTTTCCCAACTTTTTATGACATTGTTAAATTTCTGGCCTTAACACCTTGAATGTGTTTTTCTGTATTTCTCTATATTTCTTTGTGATTAACTATGTAATAGTTGTGATCAACTATGGACTATGCCAATAATGAAATGACCCTATAGAGACATTCTATAAAGCATCATTGTGAAAAAAAATGATAATGGAAAGGCCATTCTAATAAACTCATAAAAGCAAATTTATTATAGATATCCACCAAGTAATATTGTGGTTGTCTTGCTTATGATAGGATATGTGCTTAAAAATATTAAACAGGATATTTTTTTAAAAAGTTAACTGTATGGTCTGGACACAGTGGCTCATGCCTGTAATCCTGGCACTCTGGGAGGCTGAGATGGGTGGATCACCTGAGCTCATGAGTTAGAGACCAGCCTAACCAAGAGTAAGACTCTGTCTCTAAAAATAGCCAGGTGATGTAGCGGGTGCCTATAGTACCAGTTACTGGCTACTTGGGAGGCTGAGGCAAGAGTATCTCTTAAGCCTAAGAGTTTGAGATTGCTGTGACCTCTAATGCCACAGCACTCTACCGAGGGCTACAAAGTGAGACTCTATCTCAAAAAAAAAAAAAAAAAAACCCAAACAAAAAAGTCAACTGTATGTTCAAATTATTACACTCTGAACTAGAGGTTTAATTGTCCTCTAACATAGAGTGAATCATTTTCTCAATGCATAATGTAGATCTTAAGTTGCAAATCTTGGGAAATTACACAAAAGGGGGATAATAATTATACCTATTTTATGTAATTCCTTAAGAATTAAGTGATATTAGCTCTGATTATTAAACACTCTTCCCTTAGACATCCACCTGATTTTATTCCTGAGTTCTTTAGATCTCTGCTCAATTACCACCTTATCAGTGAGGAGTCTGGCAATCCCTATTCCTTTTATTTGCCTAATTTTTCTTCAAAGCTTTTGCTCTCATTTGATATAATATGTAGTTACTGTTTTCCTTCTCCCCAACTGCATCCATCCCCCACCTCCATTATCCCTAACCGGAATATAAGTGCTATAAAGGGACGCACTTACTCTGCTTTGTTCACTATATTATTCTCAGCATTGAGAAGAGAATCTGGAATAAAATAAAGGATGAATGCATATGTGCTGGAAGAATAATAGTTCCTATTTAGAAAGCCTGAAACATTCAGAGTCAGTTTACGTGCCTGCCTTCCAAACATAATTCCCCAAAGGTTAGGACCATGCCTTACATTCTCTGTATCACAGCACCTAGCACTTCACACCATCCTGTGTGAATGAATACATGAACAAGTGAGTGCTATCTGTTAGGGACTTTTCCTGATTCCCTAACAGCTGCTTCAGATTTCTCTTTCTTTCATGGCCACCGAGGAGCGTTTCCTCTTTGCCTCTCTGTAATGACTGTAAAGACAAAGTCTCTGAGCACCATTTCAGACTGGTGTTCAGTGCTCACATCTATTTGGTCTCATTATTTTTTATGGTTTCCCCTACTTAGATCAGAATCAGTGAGATAAAAAAAATGTTGCATTTGTTCTAAAAACAAAACAACCAGAAATACTTTTAACGTGGTCCCCATGAAGCTGCACACCCAACCATGGAGTAGAAACAGCAACAAATAAATATGAAAATGCTGGAGGCTGGACGAGAAGGGGAACTGATAAAACTAATATAGGTTTTATCCCTGCATAAAAACTAACTTTGTCAGCATGGCTCAGGTGTCTAATAGTGTTACTTTTCACAGTGTTTAAGTCATAGAATCAATTGCAGTCAGTCAAAAAAATAAGTACTGGAGTTGGCTATTTGATAGGTATTCCAAGATTGTGGAGATTGGGGATGAGGTGAAACAGAAAACAAAAAAAAGCCTTTGAAAATCTCCCAGAGAAAATATTGACATATTTAGTTTGCTCAGTGAAACAAAGAAAGGGGTGGATTCATTTACTGACAAGCAAGGCTAATAATGGCCTTCTTAACTTTCTCTAGAACCAAACTGTAGGTCCTCAGGCCTATATCTATATGTAAATGATGGTTTCATGAAGAATATCAACAGTAGAAAAACAAATAAAAACAAAGTAAACAATGGAAAAGGAGATTTTGCACTGCTAACAATGAACATGGAACTGTCTGCACAGACAAGCTTCTTCCCTTTTGCCCTCAAGTATGTCAGCAGAGGAATTCTTCTACCTTGAGGTTGCACAAATTTATTTCTATATCACCCATAAAAGATTAGCTTGCAGTAATAAACTACTGGCAAATTTTTTGTCTGATGTTTTGCTCCAAACTGAGAGAACTAATCTTCTTTGTCTTTTTTTTTTTTAAGGCAGAGTCTCACTTTTTCATCCTTTGTAGAGTGTCATTGCATCACAGCTCACAGCAACCCCAAATTCTTGGGTTCAAGCGATTCTCTTGCCTCAGCCTCCCTCCCAAGTAGCTGGGACTACAGGCGCCTGCTACAACGCCCAGTTATTTTTAGAGATGAGGTCTCGCTCTTGCTCAGGTTAGTCTTGAACCTGTGAGCTCAGGCAATCTATCCGCCTTAGCCTCCCATAGTGCTATGATTACAAGCAAGAGCCACTGCACCCTGCCACATAGTCCTCTTTGTGATTTCACTGAAATTAGCAAAAAAAAAAGGTGTCCTGTCACCTTCAGGACACTTATCTAACTATACTGTAATTATCTGTCACATGTATATTAGCGACCAGCTAGATACTTGGAGAGAGGGGGCTATATATTACCTTTCATTTGTCTTTGTATTCCTACACAGTACTGCCCTGTACTGTGTCCCGTAAATTACAGATCAATGAAATAGTGAATAAATATACGACTCATGGATGAGTCTTCATTTAGCAGGGAAAAGACTTTACAAAACTTTCTAACAATTTTTCTTGCCTTTACTCATTTTAATGTACCTAATTTTAGGAAGAGCTTCTCCAACATTTTTTATAAAGAACAAACTATGTAAATATTTTCTCTGGGAGATTTTTTCTTCCTGTTTCACCCTATCTCGTATCTATAATCTTAGAATACAGTATGAGATAGCCAACTCTAATAGCTCTTATTTCTTTGACTGCCAATAATTCTGTAATTTAAACACTCTAATAGTGAATTATTTAAGGTATTGCCACATTAGAATGACTGCCACAGTCACTGGGATGCTGGCGGTGAAATCTCCTTAGTGAATGCACTCTAACCTAAAGACATCTGAGGTGTATGTGATATCAAGCTACAAAGCATTAACTTCTCAATTTTCATATAGAAGCCATGTGTGTAAAGCTGATTTTGACCCTTTTTTTAAAGATAAGCTACCCAGAAAATAGATTTTCTTCTGTGTGAACCCTATACATCATTTAAGTTTAATTCATTTCTTTATGCTCTTGAAGAAATAAAGTCTTAAAATGATTGTCCTGGCCACTATATACTCGTGGGGAGATTAATTCATGCTTTTGATCTCCTAAAACAATGACAGAGGCCTTATGATTTGGTTAGGTATCAAAACCAATCTAAAGCAGAGTTAATTCAAAGTGGAAAAACATTTAAGTAGAAGAATAAATAAAAAAGAAACAGCATTTCAATTTCTAAGAATATCTTTGAAATGACACAGAAAATTAAAATAAAAAGATTTTTAAAGAGGAAAAAATATCCATAAAATTCAACTACTACATTTATGACAAAATATGGAGAAAACTGCTACCTGGACTACCACAGGGAGAGGAGTTATAGCTGTTGACTACAAAGAGGAAACTCAAGTTTTACTATTCCTGAAATACAGGTAGATATTGCCAACTATTATCTGGTATAAAAATGTTGGGCTGTGCTATAGATCAAAGCTATAAAATGTTTATATTCTTTTATCAAAGTACTTCCAAGTCTATAAATCTAGCTTAAGTAAATAATGCAGATAATTTTTGGCATACTTTATAGCATTATTTATAAGAGTGCAAAAATAGAAATAACCTATAAATTCAATATTAGAGAAATGGCTGGTCAAGTAAGCAATGACATAGTCATATAGTGGATATGTAGACATTAAAAAAGTATCTACAATGACATTTTTAGCCACCTGGGAAAATGGATCTAATTACTGTAGTAAATTAAAAAGACTTCAAATAACAGAGGTAAGTTTTAAGAAATGTGTCATTAGGTACTTTCCTCATTATGTAAACATCATAGAGTGTATATACGTGACCTGGGTGGTAAAGCCATCTATACCATACTTAGGCTATATGTATATACCACAGCTAACCTACATGGTACAACCTATCACTCCCAGGCTACGAACTTGTATAGCTTATTACTGTAGCAAATACTGTAGGAAACTATAATGATATTTGTATATCTAAAAATATTTAACCATAGAAAAGGTATAGTAGAAAATACAATATTATAACACTGTATTATAATCTGGTGGATCACCATCACATACGTGGTCTGTAGTTGGTTATGTGGTGCATGACTATAAAAAACGCGACTATATAAATGGGATTGTGGATAATATTTTTTCCTTCTTTATGTATTTACCAATTACCATATTTTCTAAGGAACATGAATTATTTTTCTAATCAAAGAAAAGGAAAAAAGCTTGTGATGCATTTAAGAGCAAGGGAAAGAGTAGACAAAATTACAATAATATCTTTTTCTTCAACCAAGCCACAAATTCAGTCCGGTGTTTTAAAATGAAGTACCATGGTGAACTATTTCTTCTTGGCTTTTCTCTAGTAGGCTTGACCATTAAAACTGGAAAGGTATTTGTGAAAATTTTTTGTGTTTTGTGCCCAAATATTCATTTAATCCCTAACTCTTACATTAATTTATTTTTATACTTGGCTGATAAACTTATTGGCCTTTTGTGTATACACACATACACAAATTTTATTTTTATTAAAATAAAAAGGCAATTTGCATCAGGTTAATTTGGATTCTCTGGCTGTAGAAATAGGATTTAAATTATTATCCAGTGATCTGGATTAATTCCTACCTTATAGTCTTTATTCTAAATTTGTTTCTTTTCCCCACTCCCATTGGTGTTATAGAAAAGAGACCAATAAATACATTAATTTAATAGCCAAATAGATTAAATGATTAACAGCTAATGTTTTCAAGCTGATGAGATTGAAATCAACACAGTTTAGTGTTGACTGGACAGTTCTAGAGCTAGGTATTATGTCCACAGGGCCTATAGTCTAGTGAGAAAGACAGAAGCAAGCAGATGCTAACCACTAAGACACAGGCATGCACAGAGGAGCCAAACAGCCTGGTCGAGGCTCCAGGAATGATTTCTGGAGGAGATGGTATCTGAGTAGAAGTAAGACTACAGTTTTCTGCTTTCTCCTTCTCTTTCCTATACATCGAATATATCCTTTATTTATTTGTTTATAGTAAATGAAGGCCAACTCCAGGTTCACCTAGATCCTATGATAAGAAAAGTACAGTAAGATTGGGCACAGTGGCTCACACCTGTAATCCCAGAACTCTGGGAGATCAAGGGAGAAGGATCGCTTGAGCTCAAGAGTTCCAGACCAGCTTAAGTAAAATCAAGACTCCCAACTCTATTAAAGGTAGAAAAACTAGCTGGGTGTTGTGGTGGGCACCTGTAGTCCTAGGTACACAGGATGCTGAGGCAAGAGGATAGCTTGAACCCAGGAGTTTGAGGTTGCTGTGAGCTAGGCTGAGGCCATAGCACTCTAGCCTGGGCAACAGAATGAGAGAAAGAAAGGAAAGAGACGGGGAGAGGGAGAGGGCAGGAAGGGAAGGGAAGGGAAGGGAAAAGAAAAGCACAATTAGAATCAGTGCTTTGTCTACGTGGTTTTCTAACACCCTATGTTAATTAGCCCCGTAATAATATTACTCACATTGTAGTGTAACTGTCTGTTCCCCCACTAGATTTGAGAAGTCCTTAAGAGCAGGGTGTGTCTTGCTTATCATGGAATCCTCAGCACCTAGCATGGTGCCTAAAATATAGGCAGGCTCAAAAAATTGTGGTTATTGTTCAATATATACTAATAATCTTAATCTTCCACAGATAAAACTCATCCTTTTTTTTTTTTTCTTTTTTGAGACAGTTTTGCTGTGTCACCTGGGCTTGAGTGCTATAGTCTCAGCCTAGTTCACAGCAACCCCAAACTCCTGGGCTCAAGCAATCTTCTTGCCTCAGCCTCCCGAGTAGCTGGGACTATAGATGCATGCTACCATAGGTGGCTAGTTTTTCTATTTACAGTAGAGATGGAGTCTTGCTTTGCTAAGGCTGGTCTCAAATTCCTGACCTCGAGCTATCTTCCCACCTTGGCCTCCCAGGGTGCTAGGATTACAGGTATGAGCCACTGCACCTGAACTTAAAACTCTTATTTTGACTCTTTACCTTTCTTTAGAATACTCCCAAATCCAGAAATTTTTATATCACAAAAACTCTTTATCTACATATGTGTTCAGCTGCCTGTAACTGTTAGTCAAAGTAGTGAGATCAAAAGCGTAAGCCCCTGGTGTGTTTGACTGCTAATAGTTCTGTATACCTGGTTAGTGTTATGAACTGAATGTTTATGTACCCCCCAAATTCATAATTTGAATCTCTAACCCTAATGTGGTGGTATTTGGAAATGGGACCTCTGGGTAGTAATTAGGGTAAATGAGGTCTATAAGGGTCAGGGCCCTCATGATAGAATTGTGTCCTTCTAAGAAGAAATACAAGAGAGCTTGGGCTCTCTCCCTGCACACACGAAGAAGAGGTCATCTGAGCACACAGCAAAATAGAGGCTGCCTAAAAACCAAGAGAAAATAAAATAGACCTTGCTAGCACCTTTACCTTCAACTTCCCAGCTTCCAGAACTGTGAGAAATCACTTCTCTTATTGAAGCCGTCCAGTCTGTGGTGTTTTGTCATGGCAGCTCTAGCAGACTAATGCAGATTTTGGTGCCGAGAAGTGGGTGAATGATAATAATGATTATCATTCATTGTGGACATAAGTTCATCTACCCTTTTTTTTTTGAGACAGAGTCTCAAGCTGTCCCCCTGGTATAATGCCATGGCAAGATACCTCACAGCAACCTCAAACTCTTGGGCTCAAGTGATTCTCTTGCCTCAGCATCCCAAGTAGCTGGGTCTACAGGTGCCCACCACAATGCCTGGCTTTTCCTTTTTTTTTTTTTTGCAGTTGTCATTGTTGTTTTTAGTTGAGCCAGGCCGGATTTGAACCCTCCAGCCTCAGTGTATGTGGCTGACGCCCTATCCACTGAGCTACGGGCACCGCCCACATTTTGGACTTCTTATTAAAAGGCATCATCAAATGTGGCTAATAAAATATGCTTTGATTGGATTAATAAGCACACAATCATTTGAATTTTAAAAACTTCAATAATACTGTAACAAGAGTCACAAGTCATAGAAATTAAGGATTCTTTATAACTGAAAGAGACAATCCCACTCTAGAATCACTAGTTGCTCTAACTTACTTTGTTTTTGCCTCCTTTAATAAAGAAGGGTCATCTGTGGCCAAATACACTCTTTTTTTGTCCACTTGCATCCTTCGTGCGAGAAGCTGAAAATGTTCTTCAACATGTACCATGTACTCTTCAATGGGATGGAAGGCAGCTTCTGTTCCCACTTTGTCTGTACGTCTAACATGGACTCTGGGGGAGAAATTCAGATTCTGATGAAAATGTACTTATCCACTTTGGTGTTTTCTGGGTACTCAATTTATACCCCTACTCATGGTGGCATTATGGGTAGTTTTAACCAGCTTTCTTTCATTTTCACCATTAGAAAAAAAACAAAATAATATTTTAAAAACTCAAACGCATACATACTTGCAGGTTAAACAATATACCAGGAACCAGAAAAATAAGTAAACCCTTGAAGAACCTTTCTTATAGACAAAGTAACTGTCAAATCAGGAATAAATGGGAGATTCCAGAGTTGTACTTCATACAAGGCAGCAAAATACCAACCAGTTATCCACAAAAAAATTGGATATAACTTTTAAGATTTTTGAGACCACAATGATACCAGGATTCACAGTTAGTATTATGTAACTTTAAAAATACTGTTTGTAAAGTTCTAATGTCATGGTTCTTTTCTTCGTTTTACTCTGTAGAGTCACTGCATCTGTCAGCTTGTAGAAATTTAAAGTTGTCCAAGGAAAACACATGGACTTTTCCTATAGGATGAGGCAAACGTTTTAAGGGTTTTTACTATTTTTAAGTAAATGGAGCCATTCCAGACCTTTTGTTTTGTGCGTAATGAATTTCCTTTCTTTGTGTTTTACTCTATCAAAAGCAAGCAGTTACTAATACTATCTGTTTAAGAAAGGTCTCTAAATTGTTAATTTAGGGACACAAATTTACATTCTCCTGTACTGCATAAGGCACTGACTACTTCAATAGTTTTCTATCATCTTAGTGTATTATCTTAGTGTTTCCAAAATAATGGTAATGGAAATAAGAATAATAAGTCATAGGATGATTTTATAAATTAGAAGACCCCTCAAATCTGTCTTCCAAAATAATTGTAATGGAAATAAGAATAACAAGTCATATGATGATTTTATAAATTAGAAGAGTCCCTCAAATCTGTCTTCCAAATTACTAAATCACTACTCATCTGTTGAAAAGGAAAGAGGTAGATTTGTTTCCTGTGAGGTCATAGCATGTGGTGTGGCTTAAGGACAAGTTTGAGGCCAGCTTTTTGTTATGAATCTGGAATGAAGGTCTGATTTCACTGGAGTGACTTTGTCATGTTCTTTGCTCTTCTCTCCTTTACCTTCCAGACCATAGTCTAGACGTGGATACTATTACACGAACATCTATTCTATCATCTTTTCCTTCCCATGTCCTTCGTAATCGCCTCTTCTCTGCGGAAAGTGGACTTGTTCAGTATGCTCTACAGAGATGAAGTAGGGTAGAAACAATGATTCCACTGAATTTTAATGAAAAGTATTGTGACAAGAAACAATATTTGATATTCTGGTTTCATATGTACTTTGTTTAGCTCTAACACTTAGACTAGGGTTCACTAACTTCTCTACATATGAGGACTAAGACACAAGGGAAGATGTGGGGACAAGAAATATGAAAATAAAAATAAAAACGAAAGAGACCTATAATAGGAGGCAGAGCCAAAGACAGAGGAGCATTTGAAACAGTGGCAGAGCACAGCTAAGCAATTTTCTCAGCTGCCACACGTGAAAATGAAGAAAGGGAGGACAGTTTCCCTGTCCTCTCAGGTGAACACTAGAACCTCTGTTCTTTGCTAGGGCTATAAAAATTAAACTATATATTGTAAAGTTCATACCATATTGTAAAGATTCATAACCCTGCTGCTATCTATCACCGTTTGAGAAATAAATCAGATTCTTACCCAATAACTGGATGTTTGAAGCCAAGCTTCTTGGTAGCCTCTTCAATTTCCTTTTCTAGCCAAGGTTGTGGGCGGATCAGGTACTTGACAAACTGAGACACCCACCACACTGCAGGATCACCATGGACACGCACAAGTCGATCTGCGAGGTCTTCTGGTACAGCCAAAGGTAAATATGGAGGACGCGGATGAAGACTGTCTACAATGGGGAGCTCAACCACTTGCACATTTTTGTCCTTCATTTCACCTGACACAGTATCAAAGCATATCGTAATTACTATGTTGTATATTCCTTGTACATCTAACACTCGATTAAGAACTCACTCTGGGTGCTTTCATCCTCATAACCCCTCTAAGGAAGTGTTATAATTTTCATTTTACAGAGGAAGTTGAAGTTAAGTAACTCACCTGAGATACCAGAGTAAAAGTGACAGCTGAATTTCACAAGTAGGTTGGTATGCCTCTCAATTCCATAACATTTTCTGAACATTTCTATCATAATACGCTGTCTTATCAATACCTCCTACCCCAAGAAAAGGACAGTATTTAGCACTCAAAGTAGCTAATCAGAGAATAATCATATTGCCAGTAGACAGAGCCAACTAACAAGTTCTGTTTTCATGTTACTGTTGTTTTAGAATTAGACAATGAAAACTTGCAGTTTGTTACCATAGTAAACTGCTCTTGCATTACTTTCCACAGTGCATGATGACTCTTGGGATAACCAGAGATTATAATTATAAGCTAAATATCTAATCTTCTCAAGAAAAAAATTTTGATGATTCTAAAATCTTTTTTTCTTGTCCAAAATAAACCAACTGTATTTTCAATTATGATAATAATAGAGTCTATGTTGCTTCTTTACCTGGATACTAAAATTCAAAGAGAAGTTAGATCCTAATTTTTACAGATGATAACTATGAGAATTCAACTTCTATGTATCATTAATGTTACTGCTGCTCTATTAGCCTCATAATGCAATGATAAGAATAAACCAAAATAAAATAGCCAGCACCCCTAGAGTTTATTTTATATATTAAAGACCACAAAGTAATAAGTAAGAGATATAAAGAAACCAGGCAGAGAGATTTCTTTATCATAAAATGTATTAAGTTAAAATTTCAATAGCAAAAAATATTAACCTGCAAGCAGGGGTGTCCAACCTATGGCTCATGGGCCACTTACAGATTATTTGAGAACTGTTTTGCTTACCTATGATGTTAGATATTGCAAAAATTATGCAAAGACATTTTTGTTGTTGTTGTTCATCAGCTTTCATTAGTTTTTGTGTATTTAATGTATAGTCTAAGACAATTCTTTTTCTTCCAATGTGTAGCAGAAAAGAAAAAAGGTTGGACACCTATTTTGTTGTCATCAAGAATAATGAATTAAAATCAAAATCATTGGGCCATTAAACAAAAAACTCATTTGTAGAGAATAAATGTAGACTATGTTTAAAATGTATTCACTAGGCTTGGTGCCACACCAGAGCTGGTGGATTCAAATCCAGTCCAGGCCTGCCAAATGAGAATTGCAACCAAAAAATAGCCAGGTGTGTGGTAGGCGCCTGTGCTCCCAGCTACTTGGGAGGCTGAGGCAAAAGAATTGCTTAAGCTCAGGAGTTGGTTGCTGTGAGCTGTGATGCCACAGCACTCTATGCAGGAGGATAGCTTGAGGCTCTGTCTCAAAAAAAAAAAAAGTATTCACGAAAGAAATATAGTACTCTTCAATTCTGTTTTTCTGTATATGTACAAAATGTTTTAAAACAAATTAAACGATCTGGGAATGCAGTAAATCAAACCAACTGCATGGTTATTAGAAAGTCAGTTTGGTTAATAACCTCTGGTTAATATTTTCTCTCTTTCTGATATGTAAAATTCATTTCAGGGATCTTAGAACAAAATCCCTGAAATACATTTGTTGCATGAATAATTGACAACAAAAAAAATTTTACCATCAGAATTGCAGTTCACTTAGGGTGCCAATTAAGAAAGAGTTGGGGACCTTTATTAGATAAGAAAATGTAATTAAGAGCATGAGAGGAAAAAACAAGCTCCATTTAAAATTAAACTGTAATAGTCTTCCATAGGCAAGGAAAATCAGGGTACTTTCCCTGATATGAAGATGACCAGAGAAATAGTACATTTATTACAGAGAAAGGGAAGAATAAAAGAGGAAGGGGTAAAGGTAGTTCCTTTTAAAATAATAAATAAAGAACAAGTGTAAAGAAGGCCCTAGATTCTCACATATGACCATAAATTCTGCTTTCTATAAGCAAAAGCAAAATTAGTACGGTCGTCTTCCTTTTGCCATTTTTTCTACCAAGGTTATTCTAAATGTTCAGTATAACCAGCTCCAAATTTTACTTATATGAAGTGTTACCCTCTGATTGCCCCAAAGCCTCAATTCCTCATAGCTTGCCCTATTAATGTCTTTCAGAAAGAAATGAAAGCTGTGCCCACACCTTCGAGAAAGACTCAGTTTATTTTGTTGATTCTTCATTCATTATTTCATTCATTCATTTGGTCAATATTTAGTGAACAATATTATGTGCCCCAAACTGTATTAGGCATGGTATACAGTGATGACATGGTTCTTGCCCTCAAGTAAGAGCTACTCACGATTCCCAGTCCAAAAATCTTATCCAGACTAGACTGCTTTCAGTGAATGAAAACTAAGCAAAAAAATTTATCACCAGGTGGTGCCTGTGGCTCAGTGGGTAGGGTGCCACCCCATATACCGAGGGTGGCAGGTTCAAACCCAGCCCCAGCAAATTGCAACAAAAAATTAGCCGGCATTGTGGTGGGTGCCTATAGCCCCAGCTATTTCGGAGGCTGAGGCAAGAGAATCACCTAAGCCCAGGAGTTGGAGTTTGCTGTGAGCTGCGTGACACCATGACACTTTACCAAGGGCGATAAAGTGAGACTCTGTCTTTACAAAAGAAAAAAAAAAAAACTATCACCAGCAGTCATGCTATCAAAAAATATCAGTTCTTAACTGCCTAGTAAAATGTTTTTTAAAAGGTATTTACATTTATAAATGAAAAAACTGGCATGGAATATAAGCTTGATTCCTTAATAATGATATGTTTCAAAATGGAAGAAAATAACACTACATGTCACTTAGAAAGCCCCTTCATTTACTTGGTTTGCCAAGTAAAATTTTATATTCTATTGGAATACAGATTCAAAAGAATCCAAAAAATAATCTTATTCAGTGTTTTCTAAATTTTAGTCATTTGTGTACTGTGTCTTTATGATTTTTTCCTTATCCATGTATTACTTGTACTATTTAACATTTTAAAAACTGATTCACTTTTTAAAACTTAAATTCATTTTATAGATGTTAATCCTAAATATTAATTCTATTTGTATGGATACTACTGCTTAAGGAGGACTCTAAACCCAAGCTAGATTTCTGTTAAAGAGGGAGATTATCAGATTATCAGTGAGGTTTTAAAGGGTGATAATTGCTTTCCCCTTGTATGAGTTTGACACCAGTTGAAAAACAGAGGAATGGCTCGGCGCCTGTGGCTCAACTGGCTAAGGCGCCAGCCACGTACACCTAAGGTGGCGGGTTCGAATCCCCAGCCCGGACCCGCCAAACAAC